GGAACACGGAACATGGCTGTGGTGGGAGGGTACTGGAGCACGGTAGCATGACTGTGTGGGCCGGCACTGGAGCACGCAAACATGGCTGTAAGGTCCGGTTCTGGAGCCGGGACCATGGCTGCTGGGGCCGGCAATGGAGCCGGAACCATGGCTGCTGGGACCGGTACCTGAGTACGAGCTAGCTTCCTGACCTTGCGTCTTTTAGAGGTCTTTTGGAGGCTCCGTGGACCTCCAAACGCCAGGCGGGATCCCAAGAAAGGGTCAGAGAATGGAGACTGGCACTCAGGGCTACGAGAAAAAACTCTGAGGAACTCAGGCAACGAGCTTCTCAACCCTGGCATGTTGTCCACCTCCATTTGTGCCTTTTTGAGGACAGCCTCTTTGTCCCTTTTATCCGAGGTTCTACTCCACTCAGCATAATGACACTGAAGAGTGTACTCTAGGGAGATCAAGTCCAAATAAAAATAAAAATCTGCTGGGTCCATTGTTGGTCGGTTCATTCTGTTACAATCACTGTCAAGGATTGCGGCAAAGGTTGGACCCAAAAGCAGACTACAAAAAGAGTAAAGGTCTATAAACAAAAGGGAGCTTTATTAAACAAAAGCTAATCAACAAAAACATGGCAAGGATATACATGAGTAACGCGAGGAAGACAACATACCACAAACAATCGTGACCAACATGAAGGGACACAGGAGAAACAAACAATGAACCGACAGGGAAACACAGGAAGAGACGAGACTAAATACAGGGAGGGGTAATCACGAGACGAGAAACAGCCGGGCAGGGGAGGCAGAAACACAAGGGCAACAGGTGAACACAATTAGACAATCTGACACACCAGGGAAACTAACGACAGGGAGGAAAACACAGGGAGAAGAACCAGACAAGAAACAAGGAGGAAAACATGAAACAGGGAGAACAGAACAGCAAAATAAACCCAAACATACAAAACTAAAACCGTGACATAACACCAAGATCGTGACAATAATAATGCCACTCCACAGAAAAACGTATAATGTTTCTGTGGCTGATGTGCAAAACAATGATTACAGAATAAGAACTTTTAAGTTAAAACTAAGTATGAATTTTTGGAACTGACCTTACTTGATGGTGCTATCCAGTACAAAAAGGACAGGATTGGCAGTCCAAACGCTACACCAAGAACAAGAAGGATTTTAACTGCTGTGGTCTGCTGACGTAATCCAGACAAGTTCTCGTACCAGATAGAGAGGAGTTGCTGTTGGCAGTTTGGATGTGCCACAAACTGCCCCATTGGTGGCATTTGCGTTTGTGTTTGAGAGAAAGGGAGAGTAATTGAGAAGGATTATTTAGGGACAGCAGACTCCATAAAACCAAAAAGATCAAATGTAAAACATGTGCATCAGTTATAAAACAAAAAATGTGAGTGCTCTTCTCACATGCTTACCTTTTTAACTTCATACTTTATTGCAAGTTTTAACCTGATTAGGTTTTGTCTGCCCAAGGTCTCTGGGCTTGGACATGATTCAGTGTCCCCGTTTAAGATGGCCTTCACTTCCTCTGTGTTTCGACACAAATCCAGCAGTCCCACCACAAAATCTTTACACTGCATGGATAGCTTCTTGTAATCATTCTATAACGGACAGAGGAAACATTTATAGCACTTTTATGAATGGCATAAAAACAAACTATAAAACATAAATTCCTTTCATGACTGCAGAATGCAATCTTTTAAAGAGGCCTTATTATGCTTTTGTGGGTTTTACCTTTCCTTTAGTGTCTTATGTAGGTTTTTGTGCATATAAATGGTCTACAAAGGCTAACATCCAAAGGTCCATGCAGTGTGAGTTTCTCTCCTTTGGACTCCTTTGTTAACTTTAGTGACATAGTGACATCACTATGTTACACTCACATTTCTATTGTCTAGCTAGCGCTCTAAAACATTGTACGTGATAGCATAAGTGGCGGGACATCTCTAAACGGTTGACCAATCACAACAGAGCCAGCCAGCTAACCAATCAGAGCTGAGTGGGCTCTGGTTTCAGACCGAGGGTGAAAAGAGCTATGCAATATGAGGATGTAAGAAGAATGTAAAAATGTCACAGTAGATGCACAAAATACAAACACGAACCGGAAAATGTGCATAATAGGGCCCCTTTAATCGGCACGAAGCTGCTCTCCCTGATATGTTATTAAACATTTTACCTTAAACTCCTTCTCAATATTGGATAGAACTTCAAGCTCATTGCTCATCTCCAAAGCCGCCATCACCGGGTCTTCATTGGAGAGGGACAGATAAGTAGGACTGGCCAGACATTTATATGCATTGATGCGTGATTGTGAATGTCTGAATGAGTCGTGCCTCTGATGCTCGCTGCAGGTCCTACACTGGCAGAAGTAGTCATGGGGGCGTTGTACACGGGAACCCTTCATAAGAAGTATATGCACAATTTCATACTCATGGCACTGGGAAGCCAGTATGATGGGGGTGATGTCATGAGAGAAACGTGTGCCATCCTCATCATAGGCGAAGAAGTCATCATGTGGGTCCACCTGGCTGGGACTATCTGTCAGCCTCTGTCCGTCTGCGAAGGCCTCATGGCCCAGTAAAGCTTCCACTATACGGATGTAGCCTTTACTGATGGCTAACAGTAGAGCATCTCCAATTCGAGCCAGGTCTTTCCTCCTTAGCAGGAGCTTAGTGACTTCAAAATGCTCATTTGCAACTGCTAGCTGCAATGCATTCTGGCCCATGTAGTTCACACAGTTGATGTTGAGCTCTGGCTGCTCCTCTAACATCCGCCTCACTTCAGGAATGTTTCCATATTCTGCAGCATCTAAGAAAAGCTCCTCTGCCATGGAAAGGCAGAAGGAGGACTCCGCACGATACAGGTAACCAGCTCCCCGTAATACCTGCTTCCGGGGTTTGTGTACGACATGCTGCATCGTCATGGCTCTCTGATCATTGCTCCGCCTGAACACAGGTAAACAAATGGCTCAATACCTTATCTGTGTACATTCATTAATGTATGCCTAACATTCTACCATTTCCCCCCTTAATACAAATCAGACATATGTTTGATGTGTAAGATTTTACTATAATTTTTTTAAGCAAGCACATTATTTAATGAGTCTTCTGTTTTTTGTAAATAGCCTTAAGGTCAATCTATTTTACCAAAAATGTCCTTGGGACTGATACAGCACGGAGCTAAATGGATGGACATTGGACAGCCGGTCTCAGCTGAGCTATAACTCACACTACATGTGTGACATCTCCCACAGATCCATCATCTGCTCTCCTTCATCTCATGGCCTCACACTGTCCATCTACTCACCCTCTGCCAGAGAGTTGATCAAATCAATTTGGCATTTCCGGAATATTATACAATAATGTCGATAAACTTGTAATATGTTCAAGTACTGTATGATGTTTACTTCATTCATTGCGATATAACCACACCACATTATTAAAGTGACCATCACTTACACTAATTGTATTTTGTGTCTTGGTCCAATTAGTAAATGTACTTTACATTCAGTAAATGCATTTGAATAACGTGATTATCTCCAAAGCTAATTGCTTTAACAAAGATAATGATAGATGAGGACAACTTCCCTTCATTCAATCATAATTAGTGTTAATAAGATCTTACATAACTGAGCAATGTGATGAGTGCATGCCATTTATACATAATTTGTTGTTATACAGACAAATTACTTATATTTTGCATCTATACCAGCTGAGGCGGAATAAAATAAAGTGGTGTCAGGCTGTTCAGCCAGAGAAGGTGCGGAAATCACAACAAAAATTGATTGATAGGATATTTCAAAATAACACGTCTGCTGTAGTCGTTTTATCCTTTAAAATGGTACAAGCAGCTGCTCAATGCCTCAATGCTCTGCCTGAGTTTCTGAGAATCCCTTGTTTATTTGTGCTGCTGCTCTTCCTCATCATGACAGGCAACTGGGTGATAAGGGAGATAGAAAACCAACAACATGCACAAACTTTAGTGATACAATTTCAAATATATGAGATTATTCTGCATTGCTGGCTGAGATGTGTGTTTTGCATATGATATCATCACTAAACATTTGTAGAAACTGAAACATGTCTACTTCCTCATGCAGAGAAGCCAGAGGACATCAGTGACAAGGACGTGCACATAAGGAGATTTAAAGAATGAGACACTGCAGGATGAGATCACTGTCTCACTCTGTTTGTCCTTTTAGGAATATCATGGGCCTGAAGCTTTACCTTAGAAGCCTAAATAAACTCCAACATATCTCAATTGATTTTTGGAAATAAAGCACGAAATGTCAGTGTGCATAATATGCGTCACATGAATATCAAATAAAAACTCTAACAGGATGATTTACTCACCTCACAGGAGACTTATGCGCCAAATGCCTTCAGTTTCACTTCATCAAGACATTACAACCCGAAACTACGATCAAAAGTGTCCATCTGCTCCTGCATCCCCGGCTCCTGTCTGCCTCTTGACCACCTGTCCGACTGACTGCGTCCCACCTTGGGTCTTTCACGGTGCTGCCTCTGCACGCCCAGTGGGCGGTTTTCTAGCTTTACTGTGTGTTTTCTACTACAGGATATTAGCAAATGTGGGAACTGTGCTGAATATTATATAAACTGTTTAATTTCCTTGATTTTCCATAAATGTTCCCGTTAAGCCGTCCAAACCAAGATATTAAAGCACTTTGTCAAACTAATAGAGGATTTTGGAACAGCAGAAATCCACTGACCTAACGGGCAGTGCCATAATTTGAGGATGAAGTGAAGAGACTATCAATGTGCCGGCTGCAGGCGAGACCACTCCTAATACTCTGGTGTTGGTCCCCTCTTACAATGGATTATTTTTAAGCAGTAGGCTACGTGGTTTATGTCTATAGGTCAGCATAAACAATCTGGAAAAAAGCTTTCATAGATCCTCTTAATTCATTGTGCTATTAAATGTAAAAACAACACATCCTTAGCCTATAGGCATTTTCTCCAAGCATATAGTGCTATGCAAAAACAATTATGATAAATAAATATGTGACATTTCGTAAATATGTATGTAGCTAGAACATATGAAATATGGCTGAAAAACGTTCAGATTTTATTTCATTATAGGCCTATATTTAGGCTTTATATGTTTATTTTTTTCAGTAACGTATGTTACTGAATTTTAATGCCGATTTAGCCTGAATATAAGAGGGCAGAGAACAGTTTTAGTCAAATTGGTCAAACACAAAAAACCGTTGATTATTAGGTCGGTAAGGAGCTGAAAACAATGATGGGATGTTCCAATGTAGCCTACTTTAGTGCTAAAAATAACCATCATTAATCATTTGTTTCTCTGTTCTCACACTTGCTGTTGTTGATATGTACATTTTACGATACTTCCAGGTGTACTTGAATGCAACCAGCAGCCCTCTGCTGGCCATGGCGGGTAAATGGTAAATACCCTCCACTCTCCCCGTTGTCAAGGAACTGCGTCCTCGGTTGCTATCACGGAGGGACTGTACACACAGACAGACACTATAAAAGTGACAGCTAAGCCGAATTATTTCTGAGTTTTTTTTTAAACGACCATTCACGAAAAGTTAGTGGAATGTGGGGTCTAACATTTTCTCTGCATGTTTATCTTCGCCCTGAAAATGGTTGAAGGAGTTTGAACGGAGTACTGCGGACGTATCTTCAAGACCCAAGAAGCCAAGTTAGCAGCTAGCAGCTAACCTGCATGTCTGTCAGGCGTCAACAAGCTGCAGCAGCCTTGGAGGATGCAAGTTGTTCAGGGCAACTTCTTCTACCACTCGTATCCTTTAAACATTAAGTTATTTACGCTGCTGAGTTATTTTAGAAATGTGTTTTACTTGTCTACCTTAGATACACCTGTGTAAATGTATAGAAGCTAAGTAAAAGTAGCAACAGCCTCACGTTACCACGTTTTAAAATAAAAGCCCTGCATTCAAAATGTAACTTTATTTAGTATAACATTAATAACGACTACCAAAAGTAAACAGCATGCATAATAATTAATTTAAGAGGTAATGTAGGTCCATACAGATTTATAAATATTGATGAATTAATGTGATACTTTTATGTTGCAGCTGTAAAATATTAGGTTTTATTTTTTACTATAGGCCTATAGGTTAAAGAAAACGGTATAATACATCACCATTTATTCGATTTTTAATGTTGTATTAATAATTTAAACCAACTCAAATAAATGTAGTCGATTTATATTTCATGATACAGTCAGCTAATTCTCTCAAGCTGAAGGTTACATTCAGGTAACACATGTACACTCTGGTATTTCAAACGTCCCCCCTTAACTTTGCACTTCCAGAAATTCGAGGTTGGGAGGCCTCGAAGATGAGAGACAACTTTTGGTTGAAGAGCAGAAGTTATGCAGATCCAGATCTCGCAAGTTCTCCACAGAAACCAACCGACGAAGGAAGTCAGTTTATTGTTTACTAACTATGCATTTCTGTTTTAATTTGATGTCCTCTCAGGTCAAACTTGTGTATGCATTCTGCAGCCCAGACCTGCCCAAGCAGACACTTCTTTTTTTTTGGAGTGGCCTAGAGTGCACCCCCTGGACAGCTTATGGTTCTGTCCTGGGCTAAGCACCTTTGCAGGATGGATGGTGTTGACAGGCTTTTGCAGTCTAGACCTAGAAATAGATCTATGGGCACCGCGGGTCACTGTGGGCCATAGCAGTGACTGCAGCGTCCCCCCTCTGACAGCTAAACCTGCTAAACTGAGCTCCGCGTGAGGCTAAAATCCCTAACAGATATTAATAACTTTCTAAATGTGTGCTTCCACAACAGAAGCTAAAAGTAAATGTTGCTGTCTTTAAACTAGGAGCTTGCAATAGTGGGTTAATGCAAGGAGAGCTGTAGGTGGAGGTCGGATTTATTGTGTAATATTCAGGTGATCATAATGCCTTTACATAATTAAAGTGCCTTTTTAAAGAGCTTAACACATGTCTGTACAAGAACAAAATGACCCACATATTATATTTGTTCAATTTAAAGGAGGGACATATGAATCGGTCTAAACAAACTATCTCTTTAAAACATACATTAACTTGTTTTTGTTTTAACTTTTAAAAAAACAATTTAAGTATGCAAACTTTTACAGACTTTCGGATGAATATAGTATTCAATATAATATATTGTCTAACAACACTGATGCTGGGAACCTAAATAATACCTTATTGCTTCGATACAATCTTTAGCCCTGTGGATTTCTGTTTATCAGTTCGCCTGGTTGCCTTTTCCCTGTCCATTAGTGTAATTGTTCTTTTGCACGGTTATGGTTTCAGACTCTCTCTTCCCCACTCAGCACTCTCTCTTCCCCACTCAGCACTCGTATGTTTGGTGTAATTCATTTTTCCAAAATAGAGACAACACACAATAGACAAAGTTAAGGGTGGAAATGACAGATAGTAATATTTATTTATTAAAATGTTCTATAGTATGATATTGTTACCATGCATTATTTTGGCCACAATCATCTATATAGTTAACATGTGATATTCTGACAGCTCCATTTTAAAGCCAATATTTGCCCAATTTCATTCCAGTTTAACCAGCAGTAATATCATAGAGTTATGCATATTTTAAATTATAAGGACAAATGTTTTTTTACAGCGCACACTCATGCCTTTTTAGTATCACATTAAATTCCATATTGTTCATAATGTAGGGGTTTCCACTTTAAAGTACTAATAAGATGCATTCAAAAAATGTATTATATAATAAATAAAGCATAATAAAGAGTATGTTTACTTTTATAGAACATTTCATATGTCAACTAAAAGCTTTTTTGTATTCTCGCTCTCTTGAAATGTTCACTTCCTGTTGACATGGACCTCCAAACATTTGTACCTACTGAAAGAAAAACCAAATGCTGCCCTCAGTTGACCCTGTTGATGTTTTTGATTGTCTTGCTCTGTAAACCCAGTAGTGAGTGATAGCTTTAATTTATTAATGACTGTCGAAAACATATCTCCATGAACAGACTCAGGTTTCTGTGTCCAAAACATGGCCAGATTACATTTAATAACTTAAAATACACCTCGTCTTCATGCCCCTTCTTTGTCATGGCTCAGGGCTCTGGAGGACAGAAGGAAGCAGCGGGACGCGCAGGAGCAACGGCTGATCGATAACATCCTGAAGCAACGCAGACAGCGAGTGCAGGACGCAACTGAGCGCTTCCAAAGAGCCCATTTACCTCCCTCACAGAGACGCAGACAATGTTAGTGATGGGTCTTACAGAATTAGAATAGAGGATTAACAGCCTTGATAGCCTTGTAATGTTTTCCTTTTTGTGATGTTTAAGCTTTCAGAAGAAATATCCCGAATATTGAAGATGCACTCAATGAAATCCAAGGCGCGTTGAGTTCATACACCCGGCAGTCCTCTTTCCTGTCCAGCAACTCTAACATTAGCAGGTAAAAAAGTTAGATTAATAATTATATAAATCTAATTTGTCCTACATGTCAATAGCCCAGGCACTGCTGTTGGATTTAAACTTCATTCTGGGAAATTCTGGCGACATTTTACTTGTAATGTACCTTTGGTGTAGTCCTTTTTTAATGGCTTGAATGTAATGTATTAATGTTGTTTTGTTTCTCTTAAAGAAGCTGCTCTCCCTCCCCGAAGCCCCCCACAGTGTTTAAATCCTCCCACCGCAAAGCCCTCTCTGCTGTGAAGGCCTACACTAAACTGCTTCAGGAGCAGAGCATGACTTGCTTCAAGGACAGCCCACAAACTGAGAAGTCACCAGAGAACCAGCAAGATCTCAGTCATCAGGTATGTTACTTGTTTTTGTATTTGACTGTGGAGGAAACACATACATCTTGGCTGGCATCTTCCAGAATAAGTGTAAGTCAGCCTTGGTTATTATAAGACAATCCAATTTGTATTACCCCAAAAAAATGTTTGGGTTATTTTTGTTGTAAGATACTGTAACACACAAACACACAAACACCCACTAATACTGTATTTCAATGGGCTGACCATTGTGAAGTAATTATTTGTGATACAACCCATTTTATAACCACACTGCAATTTATGAATGTTTATTATTGACCGTTTTAGGTATTTGATTGACTACCATTTTAGGCAACACAAAGGCCTTTTTTTTATCTCACAATAAGACCCCTAGGGGGCAGCAGTGTCCCTGTTCTGCACCAGGAACACCACCGTTTGTTGCTGCCTTCAGCACCCTCTGGTGAAATGTTAAAATAGTTGTTCTATTTGTGACAGAGATTCACAATTTTTGCTTTTGTTAAATAGTATCTGCTTTCATTATAAAGAGGCAACACAGGGCTGATGTTTGTTAGAGTGGGACTTGAATGTATATGCAGAAAGTAGTATCTATGTTTTCAAAGATTACAGATATTTGCACCAAACCTTGTTCATAGTGCACATTTTACATCGGACACCTGCCCTTAAATGACCGTTTTTAAGTATATCATAATCTGAAACCCGTCGGTTTATTTGACAGGTTTACAAGTCTTTCCATTTAGATATGTTCACTGTTTGACACAAACAATGTATGAACACAGTAACTACAGCCCAACAAATGTACAGACTCCAACATAATCACTTTCAATCGCTTTTCTGTTTCAAATGACAGAATTATTACACTTTAAAACACGTGGCACAGTTTAGGTGTAAAAGGAACATTCCCTTTATTCGCACAGACATAGGATTTAATAAAGTGTTTATCCTCTTTGAAAAACAACATCTGAACGAAAGTAAACCTGCAAAACTTTTCTGTGAGATTATTAAAAATTAGAACAGTGGATACAAATGTGTATCTTAGCCTTGACAATGCCTATTAAGATGTACATTAGCTCTATCATGGAAACACAAACAGCTTTTACTAGATTGTGAAATGTAAAATGTAAATAATTTCATATCTAATCTCTCTCTTCTACCTCTCTTCCATATTCCAGGACAGCCAACTCTCTGATAGCGCTAATTCTGACAGCATTTCCAGTAAGGACAGTTTGGAGAATGAAGACCCCAACCACAGCACAAAATATTCCTATCCGTCATTCTTCCTTGAATCAGAGAAGCCCCATCCAGACCAAAACAAACAAAAGGATTTGTTACCAAATTCTGACCCAACGTCATTCTCAACAACGATGCATCTTGGTGATCTTCATCAATATCAGCAAAAACAAGATGATGACTCTGGAGGGCCTGATAATAAGATGCACTTTTCTAGAACTTCATGGGGGTTCACATCTGACGAGCGAACATCAAAAACGGAGTCTGCTCAGCACAACTCTAACTTATTAACTCTTTGTGAAATGATTAGTGCCGACCCAGAGCACTTTAAGGGAGACTCCTCTCAAAACAGTCCCAGTGACAACATCATCCTTACAAAGAGAGACGCTCCTGGCAACACGGCACTTGATACTTCCTGTCCTAAACAAGAGGCCCTGTTGAATCTCAGGCAGAAGGAAGTCCATGATGACAAACACTTCAAACGTCCATCAGCTACAGAAATGATTGTGCCTGCCAAAAGTGGCAACAGCAAAGACTCTTTGTTTGGGGCTCTCCCAAAGCCCAATATGTACTTAAACGATAGCACAACAGATAATGCCTCGCAAGAAGAGATACTTCAGCAAACAGGAAAAGAACGCCTAAATCATTCTTCCCAGAAACCGTCTAGTGCTTCCATAAACAACCTCAATAAGGTTTTAAACCAAGACCCCAAAACTCAGAAGCTCATGAATGCAGCATCGCTGCAACACGCATGCTTGTCCAACATTCAATCAGACATGAAGTGCCTTAAATGTCCTGAAGTGGAAACACAAAAATGGCCTGTTTCAGTGAGGACATCTCGTTCAGTATATGAAGTCAGATTCATTAAAGGAATCCTTAAAAAGCAGTCTAAGTATATGTCAGGAGATCCAGCGTGTGCATTAGGCTCCGGTCATGTGATGTTTACAAAACAAGTAGCTTTAGCGATCAGAGATAGTGTTGAATTGACCAGGTCAAAAACGAAAGATGAAGAGGGCAACAACAGTGTCAAAAAGAAGCTTCGTTGGTTTGATGAGGTGCATGTGGACACACAGGACAAAGAGGGGCACATCATGAAACAGATGAAAGGCAAATCAAATCTTCGTCCGTCATACAACATCTCCGAGGACCACCAGCTAAGCCTCAGCTCAGTCTCAGGGGCTTCCAAGCCTGGACCCGGGATGACCCCTGCAGCCTCCACTAGTTATCACTTTACAAAACAAGCGTGGGCAGATGTTGGGGTTCAAGTCAGCTTGGCCCAGGAACGAGCGGAGGAGGTCAAGGACAGCACCAGGACCGGTGGCCCCAAGGTCCCTCGGAGAGAGCGCTCCTCCAGGGCCGGAGCGGGTCCTGTTTCCTCTCGAGCCAGAAAGGGCACCGTCATACGACCTCAATCTGCCACCGAGGTGAGTCAGATTGCCAAAACCCAAGGGAAGATCATGATGCCCCGCCCACCTCCTAGGATGGAATCAGTGGAAGAAAAGTTGTTGTGCCTTGCTACGACTCCATATGGCATGGATCAGGCTGGTGTCAACTGTAAACAAGCTTTAGAGCAGGCCCAAGACAACTCGGAAGGCTTTCTCTCCCCTCACACACATAGTGTTATTAGAGCAGAAAGCACTGTTGCGTACACACCGATGCCCCCCTCGTATACCTACCCCGTCTCAAAGGGCAACACGAAGGGCCCGATGAACTCAGCTCCCCAGGAGGCGCAGGGCTGCAGCAGGAGAAGAGGGATGGTGTACAATGAGAAAGGCCTGTGTTTAGGTTGCACTCCCACAGATGAGGAGATCTCACAGCTCTGGCACGGTGTCCGCACGGCCTTAGCCACCAAGGAAGGTAATGTGTATTTTGGCTGACAGCCCCACATTGCAGCTTAGGCTAGGTGTGTATGTCTACAGAGATGTGTCATTTATTAACATGCCGTTTCCCCTCAACTTTAACACAGCAAAAAGCCCAGTGATTAATTGAATCACTCTTTTTATCTGCAACCAATCTCCTTTCCACATTATAAAAGGAACTTCACTGCACGATGTTTGTGTCACTGCCAATTTGTTACAGATTCCCAATAAATCCTCTTTTACTAGAAAGCTATTTCTCATCGCTGCATCATCGGCTGGGTCTGCTTTACCACACTTTATGTGCTACAATTAATGAAAATGATCCTTATAATAACAGACATGCTGTTCTATTTGCGTCATCGCATGTTTTGCTATTAAAGTCACTAAAGTCTTACTAACCTTTCCAGAGAAAAGGAAGCCAGTAATACTGGAAAAGTGGACTTAGTCGACCCTAAAAGCTTCCTGCCTCACAATGGCCTGTTGTCTGCGTCCAGCCAGTGCCAATCTGACCCATGTTACTATCAGAGTTATCAGAAGTACGGAGCTTCTTTATTATCTCGTCTACTGCTGAGATCAGACATTGGATCAGAGCCAGATTTGCCCAATAAATAAGCATGCTTTTAAGATTGTACTTATAATGTGTTCAGTGTTTCCCATACATTGATTTATTTGTGGCGGGCTGCCACAATTAAATATCGTCCGCCACAAATGGTTCTCATAAAAAAGAAAATAATAATAATTAAAAAAATGTTGGTGGTCTAATCGGATAGTGAGGTGGGCTGATGATCGGAAGGTTGCGAGTTCAAATCCCGCCTGGAACACCACTACTAGTGTGCCCTTGAGTAAGGCACTTAGCCCTCAGTTACTGCAGGGAGAACGTCCCTGTAATTGGTCATTGTAAGACGCTTTGAAATAAGGCGTCTGCTAAATGCCTAAATTGTAAATTATATTTTTGGGAGAATAAATCCCACGGATCCTCAACTCCGGTGTCTCACTCATTAACATTGCAACACAGAGCAACAAGAACGTTGTCTACAGTAGCCATGAACTCGCATGTATTTTCTTATTTGAGGGGGGGGTGGATGCGTGGGCCACCCGAATAGGTTAAGAGGCCTTTGGCTTTTCTTGCCGGGGGTGGGGGGGGGTGTGCGGTGCGGTGCCCCCACAAATAGAATTCTGTGGGAAACACTGCGTGTTAACTTAATTGTGGCCTCTATAGATCCCTGCGCTAGTGGTCAAAATGTGCAGCTGAACAGATCCACATCGTGCTGCGAATTTTTTTCTGTTCAGCTTGCAATATCATTTTTGACACGTGAAACAAAAGCTCTAACAAAACAGAGAACAACAGTTGCAGTGCTGTGTTATGAAGTGGTACCTTTTCTTGCATATTAAGGAAAAATGCTGCACACATGAGTTATTTTTCACAAGCTTAAATAGAGCTGTGCAATATATCGATATTATATCCGTAATGTGATATAGAAGTTATTATTTCCAGGTTTTAATGGCTGCATTACAGTAAAGGGGGGTCTTTTTCTAATTTTCTAAATATGATTGTGAAACCACCGATTGCCAACCCTATGAATGTTGTTGCATAGATATTGGGGTTAGGATGAAAGCCTATCTTTTGTGGTTTCACTCATCTTATTTATTGCAGGCTAAAGATGGAAACTATTTAGTTATGTATCCTCTTTAGAGAACCCCAGAGCCTGGGCTCACAACATATCAATTAACATCAGTTGTGTTGACATATTTATGTTGCTGCTATTTAAATGATTTAAGCAAATATGTCTACTTTCAGAAAAAAACAAGCTCCGAAAACAGGCGTTGGACAGTGGGCGAGGTGTGAGGAAGCCCTGCGTGGAGCCGAGCAGAGCGCCTCCTGGCTCAGGGAACAGAAGGCTTCCTCAGGTACATGCATGCTGCTGCCCTGTGGGGAGGAAGGGAGAGAATCATTGCTAAAGATCAGTTAAAGGGTGTGTTTGAACTTGTTAAATCACTCATGCAGTCCCTTTCATGCTGTCCTTTGCTGTTGGTAAAACTGACACGATTCATGCTTCTCGAGACGAGTCTTTCTGGATGGACTTGAGTCGTCAGCGTTTTACAAATAATAAGCGTTGATGCATAATGTTTTTGTTTACAACTTGCTCTACCTGTTTTGGAGTTTATTCATATCACCTTGAGGGCTTGCTGTGTAATATAGACTACTTAACTTTACTTAAAGTTAATCTGAGACTTATATTTGTTTTGTTTGTTTGTTGCAGCCAACAAAGGGGACCACAGAGCCTCTCAGACCATTTTCCTTTACTAATAACCTGGGCTTTGCAGAAGAAGGTACTTTGTTCTTTGGAGACGTTTTTATGAGTGTTCAATCTCACTTTTCAATTTCTATAATCAGCAGTATTACAAAAACCTTCGGTAATATGAATTTCTCCTGCATGTGTAAATGTATAGCCAAAAAGAACCCAAAGTTTCCAAATGTACTATTATTTGTAAGTAAAATGAAAAGTCTGAGCCCATTTTCAATCATTTTTCGGGTACAAAAAGAACACCAGACCTCTAGAAAGACAGCACCACAGCTGCACTTTTCACATGAATGCATTAAAAAAGAGAATAAGTGCGATTTCATGCCAGCAGTGTGACTTCGACTCTTCTCTCAGGTTTGTTGAGTGCAGCCCAGTTACACCTGGCACATGCTGGACAACTTCTGGCAGAAACAGACCTCGTCGCTGCCATGGAAACAGCCCAAACACAGAGGCCTGGCACAGTGCAGCAGCGCAGCCAACAGCAGGGACCAAACAACATATCTCTGGAGGAGCAGAAAATCCTCCTCTCTCTGGACAGACTCAACCACCAGCTGTACTGTAAGCACTTCAAAAAGGCTGTTTGTGTTAGAGCAGATGTTGTTCACTACACATGATTGTGATCTGGGTCATTCTATTCAGTAATAACCCTCCTGTGTGTTTCTGTGTGTAGGTGTGCGGGAGCAAATTGGTGGTAATGCTGGCACGCGTGGCCTCGTACTTCTTGATGCTCCCCCTGTGAGTGTGAATTACTCAACACATAATTCGTCAAACATGTTAGTGTGCTAACCTTCTTCTACTGTTTTCAGACAAGGGAAGGGAAACTCACAACCCATCACAAGAATCGCTCATCCTCAGCAAACAACCGCTCTCGAAACCAGAAGAAATTCTGACTGACAGCATGCGTGATCCACGGTGGTCTACCCTCCCTTCTGTGCGTTATATACATACCCTGTCATACTGCATCACCAGACTTTATTACTCGTTAATAATAAACTAATACGTTTAGTCTGTTTAAAACTCAATATATCTATAACTGCTTGAGTATTCTGGATCTAGGGAATGCAAAGGACCGTATCAGAGAAACTAGACTAAACGTAACTATCAAGTTAGAGAGATACATTTATGTTTTAATTTTTCCATCTTCCTTCGACAAAAACTTGTGGATAAAACATATATATTTATTGAGCAGTATACTATAACCAATTAATTCTATGTGCCTTTGAAAATTATTGTAGCTTCCAATTTTTTTTCTTTACTAATCAAAATAAATCCCTTCATATAATTGACACATGGCCAAAGTTGACCTCATAATAGTCCTTGTACAAGATTAGATTTTATTTTCAAAGCTATCTCATTCTGTATTTATTTGATATAGTAAAACTAACTTTCTGTGCCTGACAGCGAATGAAATAAAGCTTCTTGTCAACCTACTGATAAACTGACTGGGTGCAGTGTGTTCAGCAACTTCAGCAGTGTGAGTATTTCATCAGTGACACACAAGGCAGTCCGTAAATAGAACTGGGGACCGGAAACGGTTTATAGAGAGCAGTGTCGCAACGCTGAAGGTGTGTTTGTCTTTCTTTGATGGCTGTAGAAAGGACGATTATATCTTGTGCATTAGACTCAACCTACTGGCTAAACAAGGTGAGCCAGAGGCCTTCCAGCTTTTTGTTGAAGTTGACTCTACCCTGAACTCTTGCTTTAGGTCCTATTTCATTAAATAGCGTCCTTGAATAAGAGAAAAGCCTGTAGATTATATTTGTATTACGTATTAGTCGCTGGCTACTGCAATCAAACGGTTATTAATTAAATGTCCTTCTATCTCCCTTGCCAAAGACTAGGGGAAAAAAGCTCTAGGGATTATTGATGTGAGTTCAGTTGCCCCTCTTTCCCGGGCATGTCTGGTTTTGCCGTTCAGTCAACCTGCTGGGACTTGCTCCAAAAGGTGGAGGAAGCCCAATAGCTCATTTAAAGAATCCCTATCCTATCAGTGATGACATTGTTGTGGTTTAACTACAGGTTTCTTGTGTTTCATATGCATATATTCTTTAGCATTTCTACAAGGAGATGTAAACAGTCATGTGAATGTGCTGCCATATAGAGTCATGCTTCATCTTACACAAAATAGACACAGAGAGATATATGCTCCGCTTTGGTGTATGGTGATGCCTGCAGCAGCAGAGGGAGGCCTTTTGAGGAGCTGTGTGCAGAAAGATTCTCTAGTTAAAAAAAAAGGACAAAAGAACTGTGGTCATTTGAGGAGGGGCTCTTGTGGCATTTCTAAGCCAGTGGGTATTAGGTGATGAAAACAGAGAGAGGAAAACACTGACACTTCATTTGGACATGTCAGTCCTGATATTTAAGTGTCACTAAAACCAAAATGTGCCCAGTAGAAGCAACTAGGACTTGTGTCCTCCTTTCTTATCACCGGAGCCCCTCAAGGCTGCGTGCTCAGCCTTCTCCTATACCCCCTGCTCACACAAAACTGCGTGTCAGCACACAGCTCCAACACCATCGTAAAGTTTGCCAATGACACCACCGTTATCGGCCTGATCACCGAAGGCGACGAGACGGCCCACAAAGAGGAGGTCAGAACCCTGATATCTTGGTGCCAGGATAACAACCTCCATCTCAACGTCAGCAAAACCAAGGAGCTGATTGTGGATTACAGGAATGGGACTATTTTGTGGAGAGAGTCAGCAGCTTCAGGTTCCTTGGTGTCCACATCACTGAGGACCTGACATGGACTTCTCATACAATTACCATCAGCAAAACAGCTCAACACGGTTCTTCTTCCTCTGCCGGCTGCGGAGGTTCAACATGGACTCCAAGATACTCTGCAACTTCTACAGGTGCACCATAGAGAGTATCCTGACTGGCTGCATCACAGCCTGGTACGGCAGTTGCACCGCCCTCAATCGGCTTTACAGAGCCATCCATGGAGGATCTTTACTCCCAGCGGCTCAGGAAGAAAGCCCTCAGGATTACAAAAGACCCCCATCCCAGCCACAAACTGTTCTGTCTGCTGCCGTCTGGCAGGCGGTACCGCAGCATCAGGACTAAAACCACCGGACTCAGGGACAGTTTCATCCCACAGGCCATAATACTATTAAACACCTGAACTCTGTTAAGTGCCTCCATAAAGCATTCATCTGTTTGTATCTTGCAATTAATTTATCAAACAGTTATCACTGTAATAAACAGTATTTTTGTATTTTAAATTATGTTCTTGTTTATATCATATTCTATTTGCATATAGACTCCTGCATTTACTTGGTCTCTTATAACATTCTCTGTATTATTTGGATTATTGTATTTTTTTATTTTCCTGACATATATATGGTTTACTTCATCTTCATCTGCATTACTTGCAAATTAGTCTGCAACATAATCTGCACTCTTCTATTCTCCTCTGTTTCTTCTTGCACTATTTTTTTGTATTGTTTTATGTCTTATATAACTATGTTGTATTGTTGGAAGAGCTCAGGACTTAAGATTTGCATTGCCATTTCTTCACAGTATAATGTGCATATGACATTAAAGCCTTTGAATCCTTGAATCCATCAATTGCATTTCAGAATGATATACTATATTCATATAAAAGAACAATATCAAATTAGAGCACTTTTTTTTATTGCATCTGTTAGTGAATACCAAAAGTGACCATCACTCTGAATACTTTGCTGCAGGTTTTCTGTGAAATCTGTTCCCATGATGTTTAGAGTTATTATACCATACAAAGGCGGGCCTAATGACATTTAAGCCTTAACCAGCACAACACCCAGAAACTCAACAAGACCGAAAAATAAGGGGAGATATTTCTACAGATGCAAGTTCAGGCTTGTTCTTTTGTCTGTTCTGAAGCTTAATCTCATGTTTTTTACAGTCCATTTAACATGCAATGCATGACTGTCTGGTCTGGCCCAGTTTCTGTAAAACCAAATTATAATTGCATGCTTGTAAAAAGTTCAAACAGACTTGATAATAGGTTACAGCCTTTTCAACTGGTGTGTTCAATTGTACTTACACATTAAACCTTATACATAGTACACATTTGAACAGGTTTTACAAAGAGATGAGAAAGTATAGAAAAAAATAATATTTGATGTATAAAATTGAAAAATAAAACTTCTACTTATTTCCACTGTAGTGCTGACAATCACCATTGTGATTGTAGGCCTACTTAAATAATGAAATTCCAAGGAAAGGTAGACAAAGTGTGTCTGGATATGGAATGTGATTGTGAAGGTTATTATCAGTTTTCCGTTTATGTTTCTTATTTCCTTTAGCTTTTGCTAGTTCTTTCCTTTGCGTTGGCAACACAGATTCATTCCAATAAAGCAAATTGAAATTGTGGGAGGCGGGCAGGGAACAAGGCTGCTTGTTTTGATGTATATACCTTATATATTGTATTTTCCGATTAAAGACTGTAGGGGGCACTCAAGCCCCCGTCTGCCCAGCTGTCTGTAGCAACACCGTGCGTCACTATATCCGATAATAACAGCAGACCAACGCGTTTTAAACAGGGAGGACTTTCCCATCCGCCATGACTTTCATAACATTAATTGGAATTGAGTAAAAAAAAAAGGTTCTGCTGATATCTCGCAACATCCAACCAAACAACAGTCAGGGGGAGAGACATGAAGAGACCAAAAAGTGACCAAACTGCGTGGTGGGTGGTCCCCTCCCCTCGGGCTGCCGGGACACTGCAGTCCATCTCTTTAATGTGTCTGAGTGCATTACAATGATGTGAAAATGACCACTTTCACTCAAACAATGGACATCTCTTCACTGGCAGCATGTGTGCACAGAAGTTATCATTCATACATGAAAATATGTGAGGCGTGTACAAATATTAATAAGTCATTTGTAGACTTAAAAAGTGAGGTGTAGGGATTTATTAATGCGCCTTGAGTGGAGATATTAAGAATAAAAGGAGGTATATCAATTAATAAAATACATTTATATGTATTTATGCAGGACTGAATAACTATGTGAAGCATGGTGAAAGTGCATGTGATAGTGTTGCATGCTGATATGTTCATACCTTTTATTTTGCTCATCTTAAATGTTTGGAATCAAATCAAATATAATAACTTCAATTAATAACAATGTATGGACAAATACAACTTGAGACCTGCATCCGAGCATGTGTGTGTGAGTGGCAGAGCAAAGCTCTTTAATCTGTTCATCGAGGCTTTACAGTGTCTGCGGGTATTTAATAGGGCTTCATAATCATTCATTCAGTGGATGTATGGGAAAAAGAGTTGAAACAGAGCCTCTGTATCCAAAGAGAGTGGATCTTGACAAAATGATTTCTCAATGGAAGAGGGGCCTCATTAGCATAACAATTGTGGGAACTGCATGGATCTACTTTTCATGAGCACTGTAAAAAAAGAAGAGAAAAATAGTACACTGTGTACACTGATGGCAGAGAGAGTGGTTTTCAATTATTGTTAAAATCATTGAGTTGTGAAAATGTTGCGTCATCATCCAAAGCCATAATAAACGATAAAATAATTTATATTTGAACAACAAAGAACCTAAAGATATACACTATGGCCTTTTCTAAATATAAAAACACAAAACACATTTTGAAAAGTAGTGAAAATGTAAAAAAATAAATAAAATGTAAAATTAAATCTTGTAAGCATTTTAAACAAGCCCTCAAAACACTAAAGGTAAATAATCCTGTACAAATGAAATACCGTTTAAGCAATTGTTATACCTATTTGGCATGGCAGAGTTCTGTTGATGTAAAAGTTAGGTAAAGTGTGGTTAAGTATATCAGTACTATGAAACGTGCATATTTTTTTAGTTTTTTACAGTATTTACTTAGCACTCTGGCACAGTCATAATTCAATGTTTTCCCAAATGGGTTCCAGTTGGCACCAGCAGGGGGGCCCTTGTTGAATTCAACAGGTTGCCAAAAATAAATACTTACAAATACCCGATAATGATATTAATGTGTAAACATGACTATTAGGTCATCCATTATTCAATAAAACAATAACAAAAGTCACCATGTGGATACTGTCAAATCCTGAGAAATTGAAGTAAGATGATTTTCACATTAAAAGTTGTGACATTAATCGCATAACATTTATTTTTGGTTTATATAATTTAAAGCTCGTGTTTTGTTGTAAATGAAGGTAAATGTTTTGCACAAATAAATGTGGAGGCCCTTGGTCCCACTCGGGCCCCTGGGCTACATTGACTGTACCTTTAAAGACTCTTGTCCCAATTAAAGCCAAGCCCCGCCTCCGGAGGAGACGTCCCATGAGTCATAAAGTTTGATGTCCTGCCCAAAGTTTAGACCCGACTGGAGCAAAAGTTTTTTCTAGAAAGTGAGCTGCGGAGATTTGTTGTACGAACTATGAATCTTTCCTGTAAGAATATACACTAACAGCTTCAACTTGGCTGAACAAGAAGGACCTATCAAGCCAAGCGTTTGTTGCCTTTTTCGTCTTTTGTGGCTGCGTCTGCTTTTTTCTTTTTTTTTGGAAAAGTTGGGCCGGGACGACAACACAGATTCCAGTGTGGAGTAGATATGCGCTTTGTTACATTCACAAGTATGCCAGCAAGAAACAACAGGAAAGCGCTGTCTTTCACTGCAGATTTCGACAGCTAACACACTTTGGAAAAAAAAAAAAAACACCCGACTGTTAAACTTTAGAATGACTCGGGGTAACTTTTACTGAGTGTCGTCAATATTTCCTGCAGTGTTAAAGAAAAAAAAAAAGTTTGGGATTGGCTCAAACTTGTTTTTTGTGAGTTTCTCAACGCGACTTTTTAGGACACATAAAGTTTGCCGACTGCTTTGGGAGAATGGATCCGAGCCAGCACAACCCTCCTGCCGGACACCAGATCGTCCATGTACGGGGCGACTCTGAGACCGACCTGGAGGCTCTCTTTAACGCCGTGATGAACCCGAAAAACACTATCGTGCCCCCATGTGTGCCCATGAGGATGAGGAAACTGCCAGACTCCTTCTTCAAACCCCCTGAACCAAAGTCCCATTCCAGACAAGTAAGCCCGCCCTGTCTCCTCTGCCCCTTCCCAGAAATTACGCTAGAGCCAGGCCCAGTGTGTGGGGGCCCTCGGTACGTGACTGGAAGCCTACAGCCAGTTAAAGTTACTTTATTCTACTGTGAAGTCGTTTCGTTTGTAGACTTTGACAACTGTGCATGGAGATTCTATTCCAAGTGCACATCATAGGATATACATGCATTTTTATATAGTTAATGGTTATTTGCACTTAAAACGTCAATTTACCCCACATTCTTTCACATGTTTTTTGCAGTTCATTGAGCTTTACATGTTTCAACAAGTTGGAACTAGCTCGGAAAAAAATCACTGCAGGGAAAAGGCCTTAGGGGCCTGTGCGTAAAAGTTAAACACTAACCAAAGTATTCGCAAATCTATTTGTTTTTCTTCAGTGGTTGGCCATATTAGTGAAAAGATGTGCTGAAATAATTTTATTACACTTCAATTGAGTTGTCAGATTGACTGGACCTTCACAGTGCAAGTGAACTTGCACATAAGTGTAACTGTTTGGTTTAGATTCCTTTGTATATTTACAGAAGGGTAGCACTTATATTGACACAATCTCATGGTATCTTCAAAAACAGAGATTTGTCATCAAGATGATGAGCCATTTAGAACATATGCGATTGTTGAATTCGTCCTATTAACCCCCTTATCCCTCCCCCTCTACCGTCCCCCACACAACTGTTGCTTGTGGTCTCTGTGGAGTTTTGTCGTCAGTGCGCATGCGTTGTTGTGCAGCGAGTCTGCGCTCTCCTCTGTCCCACCCAGGCCTCGGAACCCCCCCCCAACCCCCGTCCTTAAACAACTCTCAAACTTGCCTACACATGCATAGAACGTCCTAACATGCAGCGAAGTAGCCTAATTATAACGTGTAAGAAGTCACTGAAATGTTAAATCAGGGTAATGTAGAAAAATCACCTTTTCTGTTATCTAAGTATAGGCCTTAAATACACTACACGATGGTATTTTCTATTCAAGATCAAAATCTGTGCTGATGTTGTCCTTTCATCAATACATTTATAATCTCACACATGACATATTCATATATTCTAATATATATATATATATATAGCTCTTTAACAATATCTATTTTCACTACAAATATTGAAACAGCTTTTAGTGTTAGACACATTCATTTAGCTTCATAAGAATATAAATAAACACATTATAATAAAAATGTCGCTATGAGGAAATCCCATATTTTCAAATCTATGGGACTGCATTCATACTGGTTTTCCTCTCACCCGTCACAGGCCAGCACTGACGCTGGGAGCGGAGGAGTTCTCACCCCCCACCATGTCCGTGCACACTCGTCCCCGGCCTCCCTGCAGTTGGGAGTTGTTGGCGGTGGCTCCATGTCTGGCATGCCCCCTCCAGGTGCTTCCCCTCAACATCTCCGTCAGTCTTCCTATGAGATTCCTGATGACGTGCCTCTGCCCCCAGGGTGGGAGATGGCCAAAACAGGCTCTGGCCAGCGATACTTCCTCAAGTAAGTATGCTTGCAAAAAGCGTAAACACTGTCTCTTGCATTATACAGTCCTTGAAAAACGTAAAAGATTTGCAACTTAAAATCATTTGTTTTCAAAAATGAAAGGATAAAAAGTAGATAAACAGTTATATTGCTATATATCCCAGCCCTCTAGACATCTTCATGTGCTACTGTTACTACATTGCATCCTGATGAAGTCTTTGTCACCTCACAATATTAGGAGTAAGAAATTAGGCATCTGTTATATCTAATGTCAACCACCCAACCATCTTGTCCATTATGTTGACTATTTTGAGGTTCAACATGCATGTAATTGAACCTTTCAATTTGCTAAGTATACAGCATTACAAGCACATATCGAAAGCGTATTTTACATTCAGTTTTGGAAAGAAGGGAATATTTGATCTTCCACTTACGGTCAAGAAGACTCCAAGTTTCCAGAGAAGTCGTCTTGAGAACGGACTTACATAGTACAGCTCTGTTCAGTACAATATGCTGACAATAATTTGCAAATCTGCTACAGGGCACAATGCTGGCCAGTGTGCTCAAAAAGAGACAATTGTAATAGTTGAATTGTAGGTTATTACATTTGGTGGCCTCTGCAAACAAGAGAGAAGTCTTTTGAGGGACTGCTGCTGTATGTAGTGTTCCTTTTCTTGTGCTCAGGTTTCAGTAGAAACAATGGATCATTGTAGCCGCCCTAGACAGCAAAGGACAGACATCTCTGCAAAACTCATCCACTAAGGAGCAGATCTCCTCCACACTGATGATCCACAGTCTTAAATAGTTGCTTTTTGGTATAGTGGATCTTCTTATTCTTAATGACTTTCTTATGTATTTGACTTTATGCTCTGTCGTGCTAAGAAAATAAGGATTGAACTAGTAATCAAAGTGGTATCCTTGTCAATAATTTGTGTTAAGCTAATGTGCTCATTTTTAAATGTTCCACAGTCTTCTGAATAGCACATGTTTGGAGATTTGACTTCAAAAGTCTTCATTCGTGCTGCTTTTAAAGGCAAAATGTTGTCAGCTGTAGGAAATATAACTCTCTGACAGAGAATCTGGACAAACATGATAGCCTCACATTAACTTGGATCCAAAAAGAGCTTTCAGTACCAGATGTTTTAAGGTCTCACATCTGGAGAACATCTGGACCGTTGTAAGGAGGCTCCTCTAAAATTGTACAAAAGGACTGGGGGGGGTAGGAGAGAGAAAACACTATTCCCAGAGACTTTTCCAGGATCACTGCATCTACTGCGCCTCCAGACAGTGAAGTTTAGCTTGCAAAGTCCAATCTTGTATAACTTCAAACGCTTGTTTCAATATTACATTTTGTTGCCGGTTGTGTATATATATATTAAGTCAAGTTTCTTTTTTAAATTGAAACAATCTGATCCCCCCCCTTCCTGTTGTATTACAGTTGCATAACTGGCAAAGTTTAAGTTTTCCTCCTGTTTTTATTTTGAAATCAAAACAGTACTGCAGATCAAATATATTGACTCTGATTTATTTATCAGTGATAACGGCACAATGAAACATTTTAAAAGACAACTATTTTCTATTTACATCTGTACCAATGTCAACAAGGCCATCCTTCTCAAATAAAATGCACTGTAAACCCTGAATATTAAACATTATCCTGTTTTTCTAAAAGTTAATGCTAAAATATGGGTTTTAGATGATAACAAGTCTCTTCTCAAACGTGTTTACAAGTCTTATCCAAAGTCAGAGCCCCTTTCTTTTTCTGGCTTTGGAAAAATGGTTGAATCGCCATGTTAGGAGCTGTGTTTTGACGGGCGTGTCATACAACTGTAGAAAGAGTAGTACACCGTGTTTGTGTTCAAGTAAGGAAAACTCCAGGAGACGTCTTCCATACGCCGAACATCAAAGTGCAGATATTTGATCTGGAATACAGGCGGTCTCGGCAGAGCTGCTGGAGAAGACACTCCCCTATTTATAAACAGGGGTTGTCTGACCGAGACATGTTGCAGAAGGAGTGAAGCAGAGCGAGAGAGAGTGTGTGTGTGGGTGGGTGGGTTGGATGGACGGGTGGGGGTGGGGAGCCTGTCACCAGCTAGCAGAGAGAGAGCGGGGGTTCACATTTCACTCAGGTGACCGCTGTTGTCCTGAGAGATAAATCAACTCTGGGTGAAAGTTGTTTTTTATAATCATCTGCTTCTCCACTTCTGTTGTTTACTTGTACACTATAGGACCAAACAGTGCGGGGTTGCCTCTGTGAGTCATAGCAGTGCTGCCGATGTCCCACTCCCTTTAAAACCCCGGCTCCGTTTTGGTATGAATGGAGCCGTGGCGCTGTGATGGTGCCTCTTTTGTGTCAATGGAGTTAAATGGCAGCCATGTGGAGATGACTAGAAGAGGGGCCAAGAGAAACTGCGGCCCTCCCTTTGTCCCAACAGTGAAACAGTGATCTTTATTCAGACCACAGGCCTGTTGAGACTCATGTGAGCTTTCCCGAAATAGACAAATGGTTGACATGAAGTTTAAAGATGGCAGTGAGAGAGGGCAGAGGGTTTCACCTTGTTCACCGTGTTCTTCACATCTTAAAGGTCCAGCTCTTGTCAAGCTAGAAGATGACAGTAAATCATGGACTTAGTGGAAGTGAAACAAGTTCTGGAATAATTAACTAATCATTTGATTAGTCACGCCTCGTAAGATTAATGGTGATAAATCATTAAAATCATCTATTTTTTTGAACAAATATATATTTTGTAAGCTTCTCAATTGTGAAGATTTTTTGCCGTTCTCCAATTCCTATCTATGTAATTATGGAACCTTAAAATGTCAGCCTAGCTCTGTCATAGCTTTTTTAAATAATAAAAACATCAACAGTTTAATTATGAAATGAATTGACGGTTGTAACCCTTATGAAAATGGGATTAAGATTTGAGCAATCTCCTTCAGAAAATCTCAATTTGTTGTGATTAGAACACAAATAACACAAAACCTTAAGCTGGGAGAAGACTGGGAGAATGTCAACAAAGTCTGTTGACCTTTCCTCCTCTTTCTTCCAGCAGTTTGCTGTGGCCTTTGATTTATGACAGCAGGGGCAGGGAGGTGGGGTCACCTTGCTGGGTGCTGGGGTGGGGGTGGGGGCAGGGCCGGTCTCCAGGGCTGGGTCATAAACTAATGAAGGTTTCTAATTTAGACACACCGGTAAACTAGGAGGGGTAATCACTGTTTCCGGGCGCTTATTAAATGCAGCTTTGAATGAGCTTTTAGTCCGTGGGAAGTCAGCCCTAAGCAGAGGGAAGCTTTGGGGGAGCAGCCATTGTGCCCTCAGGGGCAGGTAGAGCTGAGTTTTGATGGACACTTTTGTGTTTTCTCAATTGGATTTAAAACTGTTTTGATGAGCCTGGGTTCCCACAACCACAATGTTTTTCCAAATTTAACTTAACTTCATCAAAACATTACAGTGACCAGATATGCTAATTTATAACTTCCACATTTTATCATAGGTTTTAACTTGGTTTTTTTTGTATTTTTTTCACTGCTTGGCTGCACTGTCCTGATAGAACAGAAACACTAAACCAGGAACACTAAACCGACTGAAAACTAGTCAAGCAGCACTATATGGGGTTTCCTGAACATCTGTTGCACCAAATATGAGTCAAAGGAACCCCCCATTAAAGCAGGAAAGACCAAAGTGTTTGTTTTGACCTTATGCTCTCATTGTATATCTGTGTAGTGTGGATTTGGTCCATGAGATCATATTTGAATTTCCTCCACACTAATGTACTTCCATAGTAATATTTCAGGATACTATACATTTAAAGTTCATACGAAAAAAGGATTTGACTTTGTTTGGAAAGAAAAACATGTATATTTAGTATTTGAATATTAAATTACCCACAGTCCATTGAGAGAGACCCACACTGATTTCATACTCGTCAACATCAAATAATACCATGACCTTTTCAGTACCATCTGTTCTTTGATAGTCTGATGTGATAAGTACGCAAATTGGGTTTCTTACTAAGCTGTTCAGAAGCGAGGCCACTCGGTCGGTCACAAATGGTGCTGGGAAGACCTGGCTGTCAGCCTGCCTGGAGCCCTCATTTGGAGCAACTTTGTGTTTGACAAACTTTTGGTTTATTGACCACACACAGACAAGGCCCTTCCTGTTCCACTGGGGCCTGTCAGCTCAGTACACAAATGGGACTGTGAGAAAGTCAGGCTAGTGTTTACCAAAGTCTTAATGTAACACCTCTGTTCCAGACATCAATGCGTGCACTGTCGCTGAGGGCATCTCCACACAGATGTAGTATCTGAGAAGTGGACCCTCTCAGGTGGGGTTTTATAGACTTCCCAAAACTACTCAAACCATAGCATCTCATGGAATAGTGCTTGGAAGAAATGAAAAGGTGTCGATTTTCAGTTGCATTCAGTTGCAAACTATTTTTACTTTTATAATGTATGTATAAATGGGATTCAATTCATGTGTTAATTCTGTTGCTGTCAACACAGTTTTTGCTAAAACTCCTTTAAATTGACACTTAATTGCATGTTTCTTTTTAATTACTCTTTGAAAATAAACAACAGTCAAACTGAACCTTCAAAGCTCCATTCATTCGGGCACTTTGTGAATTAGTTGCTTCGTTAGGAAGTATGGTGATACAAACCCTCCTTCAAAGGGAAACTTAAAGCCACAATAGGGTCACAGAGGTTGCCCCAATAATCTCTCTTGATGATGTCCTGCTGATAGAGAGGCAGCCAGGCATCCCCAGTCAACCAGAGTAGAGGTGGTCATCCCCATCTTAGTGGCCTTATTACATCTTGCCTCCCTCAGTGCACTTCTTTAGTCATTCCGCTTCAACCACCTTCCAAGCATTTACTCCCAGGGTGGAGCCACTGTGGCCTGAGGATCCCATTTTTAACATTTGACAACTCAGCTGTTGGGTGTGTTTCATCATTGCTGCACTCCCAATAGCTTCCCTCTCTTGTTTCACACCAGTGAAAAACAGCTTTTGACATAGTTATGAAGAGAGATCATTTGAGTGGAATAAACAGTCAATCTGGCCTCGAATCGAGCTTTGATCTGTTGTTTTGGCAGGTAGCAGACCTTATTCGGAGAATGTTAAACCACGGAGCACACTTATTTTTGGATAGAACGGTCTCCCCAAAGCCAGATGTAAGCGCCACAGATTTCAAGGATGTAAACAGGCAATCTGTGTTAGGAAGTTTGTCATAGTACTGTAAACAGATGAGGTCTCTGAAACAAGTGCAACATTCAGACTTTTTCGCTCGGATTTTCAAGTGTTGAGCTTCTGCAAAGTTACTCTTTAAAGCTGACTCCTGTTAAATATTTTGATTTGGTCTCTAGTGATCCAGATACATTTGATTTTGACTGATTTTCAGTATAGAAAGAAGTTGTTACTGACCTTCTTTGATGTAAATTGCACCGGACAGAAAAGTTGTACGCCAAATAAGCAAAGCAAAGTCAAGTTTAGCCTCGATGTGAAAGATCACCCTCCTTCTTTCTCAGCAACACACATTATAAATAACACAGGCACAATAAACGCCACCTTGATAATTGGGCCATCAGTCAAGGAGATGTCAAGTGGATCAAGAGTCCTACTTATTGCCTTTCTCAGCCACAGTCGACCATGATGATAGCTTGAGCAAAAATGAGCAAGTAAAGCATTTCACTACGGGCGACCAACTTGATAACGGGTCACGTTTGAACCACATTGCCCTCTTTTGAAATGCACTACCTGGCCATTTACAGTTTTTTATTAGTAAGCTAATTATGGATTATGTTTGGTCTTAAGTGATTCTCAACAGAATACCACTTAAAATTGTCTCTGGACATGTCCACAAAAATGCAGATACATTACATTTGTGTTGCTATTTTGACCTGTTATCCCCAATACAAACATTAGAACATGTTTGGTTATAAAGAGAATGGAGCGATTCAACAAACAATGCTTTGAAACTTGAAATGTTATACATCTGCCCTTTCATCTCAAGGCTTGAAATGTGTCTGTATACAAATGTAGTTTTCTCATCATTAACATAACCAGTACTGACTAGAATGAAATCAAATCATCGACTACAGATTTGAATGAAAAGGACATGACATGGATACAACGCAGTCCAATAGCCAGTTTGTAATTTTGTTATAATCAACCAAATATGTTTGCGTTAGACTTTAAAGACAGACATTTTCAATCTTGTCGTCTTTCAGTTTGGCCTTTCCGGTGGGTCTTAATGTATATGACCCCCTTCTTCACCCTCTGATGTTTATTTTCTTCCCATTTTGCACCAGCTGCTAGATGCACGTCATCAGCATGCCTGCTCCATTCACACATGGTCTCAATCAGAAGTTACACACACTTTGTACTAAGGGAGCTGGCAGGGTGAAGTCTGTGTGATGTCTGGTCCAAACTATCCAACATTTACGTTTATTATCTAGATAAGTTTAGAGTTGCAGTGCTTGAAAGAGTATAATATCATGTGACCAAAGCCACAGTTCTTCATGAAGATTCACTTGATATATTCGCTTGATGTTTTGGCGTCTCAGTTTGGACAACAACCCTTTAAAACCAAATTTAAAAACAGCATTGTGGTTGGTAAACCTCAAACATGTAAACATTGTTTTCCAATGTAGCTGCATTAGTGTGGACAAAGCCGGACCCACCACTAGTTTGTGCCCCCTGCCCTGCCCCGGGGATGGAGGTGGGGGGAGGGTGCGGTGGTCCTGCTGAGCTCGCCATGGTGTCAGAGACATGTAAAGACAACACCGAGCAGTTGTGACTGTGGAGGTTGCAGATCATCAGCAATTCCTAACAGCAACTGGTGGCCTCCAGCCGTCCCAACAGTTGCCATGACATTGTTTTGTTTTATGTTTAACCGACAGGAAGCGGTGTATAGCCCTAGCCATATAGGGTTCGAGGCAGGTTTAGTGAATGGATTATCTTTTAGTTTTCAAATCTGGTGATGAATTACTGGCTCTTGGTAACTTATTTACCAGTCCCCACGTACAGGCACTTTGAATACAGTGCAGTGCTGACTTGGAAGCTCTCGCAGTGTGTGGAGATTATCACAAGGTCTAAGATTGTAATCTCCTCTGTTTAAACTGAAGCTTTGTTGACATGTTTTATGATTGATTTCAGCTACAGACACTAACCTCGCAGGCTGGGCTTTGAAAGAAAATTCAATATTTGTACTCTCATCTGTGCTAAGAGGAGCACACGTTAGGGGGGAGCGAAGAATAATTTATGATCAGCGTTGTTGGAAGCTTCGAGGTTGTTTATTTCCATCAGTGTTTTCCACTTGTTGCACATTCGTTCGGGATTGGTGTACCAGGATGTGCAGGCCTCTCATTTACGATAAGCCCTCCCTTATCCCAGTGCTCCTCTCCAAGCCTCCTCCCCTGTTCTCCCCTCCCCTTTATAATAAATGTCATAGTTTCCAGAGTGGGAAGGACTCGGAGGCAGTGAAGGGGGAGGGCGGGCGCTCCGAGTGTAACAGGACCACAGCAACTCATGCAGCCAATGAAATTCAGAGGGATTGCTTCCGTAGAGGTTTTTTTCCCTCTTTCAATCCCTTTTTTTTTCTTTTCTGTAGTTGTCTCACCCCGCTCCCTATGACCCCTCTTTCTCAAGGGGCCCCTCCAATCTGAGCAGTTCCAGCTATTTTGCTTGGTTTGTGGTGTTTGTGTGTGTGAGGGCTGGGGGGAGGGTTTGGTAGGGGATTTGGCAGCTCCTTTGATCAGTAAAGCATAAACAAGAGGGGGCTTCAAAATGGGTTGCATTGTGTGTGTGTGTGTGTGTGTGTGTGTGTGTGTGTGTGTGGGGGGGGGGGGGGGGGGGGAACCATTTTTTATAAAAAACAGTGCTGAGTCAGGCCCTCTCGCTCTTCGGCCTGGGATAGAGAGCAGACAGACAGGCTGGGATTACCGCAGAGGCCAAGAAAAACTCTCTGAATCTCTCACTTCGCCCAGCTGTTCCAAAATCTGGGCTGATGGCGCATGGGTATCAAATTAACAGCGGGTCGTAAAGAATCACAGAGGGTTGAGGGACACAATTATAGCAACATATAGAATACAGAGGGTGTTTTTCAATTGCATTACACTTCATTTTGTCCTTTGTACCAAATAATTCTGCTATATTAAAAAACAAAAGAGTTGCGGTGTGGCATAAAGAAGTTATTTGTCTGAGGTGAGGGGGGTCTTTTTAAATGGGATGTTTCAGAAAAACAAAAAAAAGAACAAGTGAATAGTCGGGTTTTAGGTCGTAGCTCAGTCTGTGCCTTTGTCAAGCAGGTGAAAGCTTTGTAAATGTGGCGCCAGATTGTTAAAGCCCCTGACACTCCACAGTGTCCGAGGCACTTCCAGGAAAAAGGACCCCCTGCGTTGAGCCCTGGGACTGACCCTCCCTCAATGGAGAGGGTCCTGCTCGGGAGAGGAGGGCTTCCTGTATTAGCTTTCCATCTTAATCAAGCAACAAGTACCAACAAAGCACTAATTATCAATGCCTTCACAGAATGAAACACAATGCCCCCCTCCACCTCCCCTTG